AGTTGATGATGTTGAAGCAATTTATTAAAACAGATAGTTTAGTACATAAAGTACTCATTATTATAAGTCAAAATAAATACTTTTTTCTTTCTTTGCAGTTTTTCATCAATTATTTTACATTGTAATTTATTTTAAACATAGTCAAAAATGGTTAGACCATACATATTCAATGGTGAATAAGCAAAGAGCACTTTACAGTACAATGTTTAATTGTCTGTCACTAAAGAATACATTTGTATTACAGATCACTCTCTTGCCAAGAACCAACAGACTATTTACAAATGTTCATACTGTAGGACATGTGAATAGCAAGTATTGTTAATGAGCTGCCTATTGTGATGGAAAATGGCTAACATCTGATTGCAACCTGTTGAGTCTCGGTACAATTTAGATACACAGGCCAGATTTATAAAAAAAGTCCCTTTTTTTATAAAAAAGTCCAACAATTACCATGAAAATGAGGTATTTTCCTATTTAAAACTAAAATAAACAAAAGGTGTTTGTGTGACAAACTGCAACTAATAATTTTCATAGTGCAAACAATATGAAGATTCTGAGGTTAAAAGTGGCCTCACTGTGAGAAAGTTTAAAATGGTAAAGCATCATTTTAAACAAAACTATTACTATTTAAGAACTCTTCCTTAAAAATATCCATACCTACTGTACAGATCTCATCTTACTACTTGGTATTAAAAATTCAGTCACTGTGCAAAAAAGTTTTTTAAAAACTGGTCTTTTTATACAGTACTTGAGTCAGTATTGCATCATACACATCATATAAAAACAAAGACAGTGTCCTTTATACGACAATGGTCTTTTTTGTGATTTAAAGTTATGTAATGACCAGTGAGTGCAGTTTTGATTACAGGGATTAGAGGTAGTTGCTCTTTAGCAGGGTGCCATGAAGAGGCTACATTCTGTTGGCCCCCAAAGCCCTGTTGTTTACCACAGTATCTGGATGGATGCTTTAGCCTTGTGCAAAGGGTTTGGTCCCAGACGGATAAATTCTGGCTTATCTCCACTACCACTGGTTAATCAGTGGGGATATATACCGCACAAGGTAATGGAGCATAGAACTGGCCCGGTGGCTTCAGTGGTGAGCCCGCTGGGGTGACCCTCTGCAAGCAAGGCTGTTACACACAGCTCAGCACCAGTTGGGCTGGGAGCTGAACTAATCCTAGCAATGCATTGACTTTCTGGATGTGGTGTGTGCCAGGCAGAAGGTCTCTTCTTCTCGGGGAGGAGGAGAGAGCTTGCTTATCAAGGGAATTTAAGTGGGGAAAAAAAGCAGCATGGCCAATCAGTGCAAAGCCACTCACCCCTTCAATTCAAATTGAGTAGCTGACGAGAGGGGAAAGTCAGTTCATCATGGAGGATGTACCCAACATCAGTTACATTTATAAACCAAAATACAGTCCCTAAAATTAATTTTTATATTTTCGGGGTTGTACAATACACTGAGAGGGAAACATCCAGGGTTTCTAATTATTAACTAAATGTTATATAATAAACCCCCCAAATTCTCAAGCCTGCATATGGAATCTGTTTTCTTGATATGATTTATTAAGTAAAACTACAGAAAGCCAAACAATCTTCACAAGAGAAATACCAGAGTAATAGCCAAATAAATATAACAATGCACTAGATCATTACATTTGTTGGTGGTTAAATCAGGTGCCGTTTAAATATGTATTTTTTTGCTCTACATCTACGATGTCTAATAAAAAAGTTAATTATCTTCATTATTGTATAATTCTTAAATTTGTCTCCCTCTTCCCCAGAAATCAAACTCCTGTTATTTACTATAATGAATGCCATTTCATAAGGTTCTGGTTCATAACAATTTGTTTTAAATAAAAATAATAGTGAACCAATACAAGAAACCATGACGATACAAAGGCTGACAGACAAATCTCACACATCACACTTCCAAATTCAGTAAATATCCCCGTTATGGAGTACAAACTGATTTTCATTAACATCATTAGACTTACAAAAAGTCTTAAGCCACCCAAGTTCTTTTAATGTAATAAAACAAGAGCACTTGAGACACTGATAATAAATAATTAACTCAGCAATCACATCTTTCAAGACATTCTAAATAATTTAAGCAGCATTATTATGTAGAAAAGGAGGTTAAGAAGTGAAGTGTTAGGCATTCTAATAAATACTTCAGTAGGCTGAGTGTGCTTTCAGGGACAAGCAGACAAGGAAGAGCCTCTGGTTGCTGTGAACATAAATTCTCATACTGTATATTTCAAATGCAAAGATAGCTTGCTGAAGTACTTCACTTATTTAAAAAAAACAAGCTTTGCATTTTTTTGACAAAAAACTTTTACCACTGGAAAGGTAAAGAAAATAAACCTTACTGCACTTAAGTAATAAAACCACAGAAATATTTCTTGCAAAACTTATTAGTTCTTTAGCCTTGAGCCCAATTACAGTTTTGACTGGTGTACAGAGCTCATTACACAGACTTTTGATTTTGTTTGTTTAATATGGTAAATTAAAAAAAATCAAGTTTCCTGCCTGGATATATTGAATACTGTTTATACAGTAAGTAGCATGTACTGTAATTGCATAGTATAATACCCACAATTTGTATGATATTAAGATTAATTATATGACTGTTACAGGAAAAACAATAAAACGAAACAATATCTACAAGTAAGAGCCATGAACTACCAAGAACTTTAAAAGGAAAATGCAAAATCTCTGAACAAAAAATCCATTAAGCATAAGGTGTAAACAATTATTCAAGCTGTAAGGTATAAACAAATATTAAAGCTCAGTCTTTCAGCCTTTTCTTTGAGAAAGAAGCAAAGTTTAATGTGCATTTAAACTTTAACCACTCATCAAGACAAACTTAACTGGTCAATCTCAATCTCATGTCAAAAAGCCTTAAGCCATCATGAGCTCTAGTAAAGAAAAGGTCATTTCAGCACCATTGTCTGCTACTTTGCTGAAGTGACCTTCAGAATGATCACTAAAGGTATGCACAGACACAGGGTACAAAGGTCTCGTGTGTTTATCTGTGCAATTTTGCTTTGCTTTTCCTCTGTATCAATAGAAAAGCAGCATAACGTTTTTCAAATGGCATTTCTTTATTTGTTTGAGAGAGGAGGAGGAGAAAAAAAAATGAAATAAATAAATGCCAAGAACATCATTAGAACAAATGCCAGCTCTGTCAGTGACAGCTGCTCCCCCTGAAAGCAGAGAACGTTGCAGGAGAGCGTCGGCCAGCAATCCCCTTAGCGGTCTGTAAAGTCACTAGTGGGAAAACAACAAAGGCCTTTCCATGCAACTAACACAGATGTGCCCATAGCCAAACTGTCAGAAGCAGTTAAGATGACGGCTACTCACAGTTCATTATTTCCTTCTCACAGGTCACTGGGTGACAAGCTGGGTCAGCATGCTTCATTGGATGTTACAGTTCTATCGTTAAATTATAGAAAAGGTGTGCCATTTGATTTGATAAACTTGTATCAACAAATCCACGATTAGCACTTTGAAAGAATTCCTTAATTTTGTCTTTGCTTCTTTAAGTTGAATGTAGATCACACTTCTGTCATTCATTATGATCGTAAGATGCATTTCATGGTGTGCTTTCAGTAACTTAGAATATATTTATTTTCCATTTAATTAATATAATTTTTAGTGCATTGTTTTAAAAAAAAACTGTGCATTTAAATTAAGAAATTCAATAGTTGTATATGTTTTTGGAAGTTCCATTCATTAAATCTTAATGAAGCACATATGTCAGCTACTATAAAAGTGATATTATTTCAAATATTATTGTCAGTGCTAAGCATAAGACACTTAAAATATATTCTATCAAGTAATTACTCATACGATATTAGCCGTAATACTGTATATGCTCTTTTATAAATAAAGACTAGACAAAAGTTAATTAGGTCAATTCAGCCTCTTTACACTTTGCATCACTAACTGCATTATTAGACATCAAGAGTGAAGGGCAAAATTCTTCAATTGCTCTTTAATTTAAGGGCATTATTTGGGAATTATATGGAAATAAATTATAGTCCAGACCATGTCATTAAATATGATTTATATGGAAGAAAATATCTTTGCTGCAAAAATGTTTTTTTTTCCATGACACTGAAAGACAACTAGAGCATATGAACATGAACTATACAAGCTGATAAAATATAAAGAAATGGGCTTCTGCTGCAAATGAAACGTATCATTTTATAATTTTTAAGCATCAAACTACTGCTCTGTGAAAGTATCTCAGTTGAGGTACACAGCCATTAAACACAGTGAAGCAATTCATCTTTTGCATATACACATCTGGAACAAGGATGAAATTCACAAATGTGTTACTTGTTGAGTTGACAATTTAATATGAGACCTTAATGAAACGTGAAGTGAAAATCTGACATTGTTAAATTGCATTACAGAGGCTAAAATGGTGAAGATGCACACAAAAATCTCACAAATAACTTGATATAATCAGCTTGGACGTTTTATATTATACACCCCAAAATATGTAAAGTTTCCACTCCACAAACTCATGAATTAATCGTGATTTTTTTTTAGTTTTATGTTTTTCCTTACCAGTACTAATTTGTAAATGTACGCGAAATAAAGTTTCTCAAGTCAACAGATACAATGATTGCCATTATAAAATTTGTTTTATTGGATCATCAGCAAATTCATTTAAATTACCATTATTCATACTGTAGAAACGTGACAGAAATTGGTAAGTTTACCTGAAGTATTTTTTGAGGAACCTTTTATAATATGAAAGAAAGGATAAATAGAAATATCTATAACTTCTTACAGATGCTTCCTCATTCCCATCTTTACTGCTCCACTCTTTATCCCTCCTCTCTCTCGCTTCTTAAATTGGTGCTTGTCTGTAAGCTTAAGGGCTTTTGAGATATTTCAAAAATATCTGGGAAATCAATCTTACATGAAACTGAAGGAAAACATCTAATGTCATTGAACAATAACTATCAGTTCTGTCAGCGGCCTACCTTTGAGCTGAGGCCTGGGGCTGTTTGTCTTCTCGTTTCCTCACTAGTGCCACTGTCAGCTGGGCACTCTCCCCCAGGGCTCCTGGCGGCATTGGCTGGGTGTCTATGGGTAATGGAACTTGCTTCTGATTGGTGTCACTGACATTGTATCCTGAAACCTAAGGAAAGAAGCAAAACACTTAAACAATTATTCTTGGAATATATATAGATATCAATCCTCAATTAAATCATCGCTAAATCCAAAGAAAATATAGGTCATGCATTGCAAGAGAAGATTTTATACACGATTTTCAGTGGAGTGATGAATATTTTTAATTAATTACACTGTACTTGTAGCATTAATTTACCAAAGGAAAACAGGACAGTTTTCATAAATATTACCATAAACTGTCTTCCCTGTTAAACAGGTTTCAATGAAAAAATATATATTTTTTAGATACTCCATGAAAAAACAAGGTATTTTTTATATACCCAAAGTGACATGTGCTTCAGATATCTAGCTAACCAATCACATTAATATCGTATACTAAACTGGATTCCAGTCCACATATAATACTGCAAAATCTACTTTGGTCTGTTTCCTGTGCAGAACAATTGTTGAATAATTTTCCTTTAACAATGTGCTGGGAAAAAAATCAAGATTAATCAAAGAAACAAATAGGAGCATTAATGGAAACTGTATTGGTTTTAAATGAAAAACTGATATATAAAAGCCAGCCAAGGAGAGACAGTTAAATGGCTTTCAGAGACTCTGATCAAAGGCAGACAAGTTTTAAAGGAGGAAGCTATTTTTCCCTCCTTTGTTGAGATATATATTTAAACTAAAAATGCAATAAATGCCATTGATACTAAAATTAATTTGTTGTTTTTTTTATCTTTCAATATATACAGACACACACATAATCAAAATATTTCAAAGTGTTTAAAATACTAGTATACTAAATAAAATACCAAGTACAGTAATTATTGTGTTATGTTGGAGAACCTTGTGAAATATGAAATATGTCTTTCAAAGAGTTTTCTATGACCTGCCTTGGGCTCTCCAGACTAACCTCTTCAGCAGCAGTGTTGTCTGCCTCCTGCCGTTGTGCAGACCAGGCCCCATGGTGATTGTGCCTCTCTGTCTGGGTCACCTCTCTTACAATCAGCTCCTCCAGGTAGGTCAGGACAAATTCTGAGTGGGCCTGTAGGAAAGGACAAAGGCAAAAGTGTACCATCAGGCCATCTCACTCAAGACATATTAGGAATTATGTTACACACTATTTTAACAATCAAAAAAGAATGACTGTCACAATACGTCCAACAATGCAAAACACAAAGAGAGTACATCTTGTTTACTCTTTTATATACAGCAGAAAATGCTTAGAATTTGGGTAATGGACAGTTTTCATACTGTTCTGTAAAAGATTCTTTATGCGTCTAAAATAGCATGCAAGACTTTTTGAAACCAAGGCTTTGTGCTATGTTACACCTTTTTACAGACACACAATAAAATAAAGTGTTGCACTAACCATAAAGAGACTATACAGTACAGTAACTATACAAAAGAATGCATATATTACAAACCACAGAAAAAATGTGACCATCTTTTCCAAAGCCCCACTTCTGATATATGGAACCTTTGATCCTGCAAATGGTAACATGAATTAGATATTAAACAATTCAATTCCATTCTCAATACTTCATTCATCCCCAGGGTGGCAATTTAAATTAAAGTTAATCTAAAAAATCTTTACATAATATCATGATGGAGTAGCACAATTCTGTTATTGTTTTAAGATATATTTGAACTACAATGATTTTCCAGCATCAGATACCACTCAGGCACCGAGTTCAGTTCTATCCAGAGGACATCAGAGATATTTTTCTTCCAGTACTGAAGTACTTCAAATGGGTCTTGAGTTTGGTATGCAGAAGTGGTAGCAACACTACAGCTGCTGTGTATATAGCAGAGCATGAAAGGAACTCAAAGAATGTAAGTACCTTTTCTGTATGCTCAGTTTATATAATTCTAAAGACGTCCCATCCTCAGCTTTCAATGTAATTGGCAGTGCAGAGACAGCAAGGCAGAACTGTGGCATGGCTTTGCTCAGGATTGCTCCTGTCTTTCAATACCAGGGGGAAAAAAGAAGTTTGAATGAGTGAAAAGAACCAGAAAATAAAACAAGATGTCACAAATGGCGAGGTCATTATGCCTGAGTAAGCCTGGGACATTAACAATCGTAGAAAGTGAAACACTGTACTCAACTTATCATTCATTGGGCCCAGTCAGATTCAGTGATCTCCAGTGTAACAAGAGTGGAATTTTACAGTTCAGCGCAAAACAGAGGAGACCAATGATATCTTCATTTGTCTTTTTATGTATATTTCACAGTGCAACGATTTAAGGTCTATAACGTGTCACTGCTAACAGGAGTTCATTTTTTCCAGTACAAGTATAGATTAAATGTATGAAGACCTGTGGAGAAGAGCTTAAAGGCATTGCATAGTTAAAGTAAATATGTACCCTTTTATTTTTTTAGTGGCCATTATTTTAAATATATTAATAAAGAGTTTTTAAATCCATTAAAAGACGTTTTAAACTCTCATTGACTCTCCCACATAGGGTACAATTTAAGATTCAGTAATGCCTCAGAAAAAAAGTTGAGACTGAATGTAGTAGCTCTTAGTGCATGATAAAAAACATGCATTATTTATTGGATACCTTTGTTATTTCACCAGTCCTGATAAACCACATTCCAAATGTAAAATATAGGCAGGCATCTAAATGTAAAATCCTTTATTTTAACAAATATAATCAACAATTATCACATCACAAAGCAAAGGCTAGAAATTTAAATGGTGTCATATTTTAATTGAAAAAAACAGAACTGGCTCAGATCAGCATGATAAAACCCTTCAGGGAGTTCAGCGAAATGGAATAATAGGCACAGAGGCATATTTTTCATATTTTGTGTGCAAAAATAAAAAAGAGCAATTACTGGAACTGAAATGTGACTAAATACATTCAACTTGAGTAGCTGTTTTATATGCCAAATATTTGGGATTACACACATTAGATGGAAAATGGTTACATTGTACTGTAAACTGCACAATGTGAAGCTTATGTCGAGCTATTACTTCCCAGATTTCTTATGACCAATTATAAGCTATAAATGTAATGTTTCACGAAATACAAGTAAAATGAAGCAAAAAACAAATTCTACCGCATAGTTCTTATATGAAAATTCTATCCTTGAGTACAGCTGAAGCACAAACTATGTAAAAATATTCTTTCCATCCTAATTCACATTTGCTGCAAAGCAAACAAATGCATCCAATGTCTAAAGCAAATGAGCCTATTCAAATCCAAACACAATTTCATCTTTCCATATGAAAAGCTATGAAACATCAATTACGACTCAAAAAACTGTGAAATTTTGATAAATTAGTGCAAGAAACTGGAAAATTCCAATAATCACGAACAAGAAATAATGAAATTCAACCACATATGCCATGACAAGACAGTAAGAAAACTCTAGGGCCCTCTACCATGTGCATTTTGATTCATTTTGGTGGAATAAGGAGTGGTGAACTGGAATTTACCTACTGTACTTGCAAAACTCCTAACTCACAATAACAGGCAGCGTAGCTCTAAGAGCACAGACATGTACAGAGTGTTGTTATTAATTTTAACAAATATTTAGGAGGTTATGTTGTAGTGATATAACTGTATATGTGCCAGGTAACAAAAGATATATATGTAACAGTATGTAATGAATGACTATTTCTTCACCTGGATTTGATCAGCATAACAGTGTTAAAATGATGGGAAGTTTACCAGGCAAACAGCATGATTTTCAAAGCTATCTACTGAAAAACTTAATAATCTTTTTTTTACAGTAATAGAACCTTGGCAATCCTGCAAAATGATATTGCAAGAGCACGAATGTGTGTTAATAAAACACAGTGATCCTTTTCTGACCTGGATTCAGGCTGCATCTCAAAATGGAAAATACCTTTGTGATTATCCACACATGAGATAAAGGCCAAACAGGTGACACTGCTGCATTCTGGCTTTGATCACTTTTCTGCCTCGGCTGGGATATTCCGCTTCTTCTTTCAATATGAACGGAGGGACACAAGATCATCTGTGGATTCTCCTAAATTGATTTAATAAAAGTTCAGTAATCTACCTTCTCAAAACACAAAAAGCTTTATTACTACTATGCATTTCTTGAATTAAAAAGTAATAGCCTACCCAATCTCCTTCCTACCTATATTTGCTCTTAAATTTCAAAATCTGCTTAAAGGTGTAACCCTTAAATGACCCCAGAATGAAGTGGATAAGTGGGCATGTGACCGCCCTATCATTACCAGTCTCTGCTCCTCACCTATGTTCTGTAGGCTGAGCAGCCAAGGTTTCATTTGGTTTTGTTCCTAATTTTATGCTTCCTTGGACAGGTGAATGTGATGTTTCACAAATGTCACCATTTTAACCGAACCTGGATAAAATAACTTCCTACAGTTTCATAACAACAATTACTTACTTTCCCAAATAACTCATACTACAAATATTTTATATATGATAACAAGAGGTGTTGAATCCAAGGGGAAATAATATTAAAGCAAACAGTTTAGCAGTTTTATTTATTGGAATTCCAGACTTAAAATTCACAGAAAGAAAAAAAAAGATCCCATTTGGATGCCAGATTTTCCATGCAACTTGTACTTTCCAAAGGGTTTGCACAAAAATAGGACAGCAATTTCTTCACCTCATGAGATGAGTTGCATTTAATTATACATCTCATGCACACTGTATTTATGTTGCCTGTCTGTGATGTGTTTTTCTTCTTTCATCTACATGTTAACATGCTTTTCTTGCACTTAAAGTTAATAAAGATAACACACAAGTCAGGTATGTATAAATGACAAATTAATATTAAGTGTGTAGGCAGTAATTCTGAAGTCATTGATGCACTACTTATGTTAATATGCAATTACTGTATGCTCACATCATATGCATTTTTGGTTATCTAGAAAAATTATTGACACATTGCCTAACTGCAATACCTTACAGGAGGTCAGGTGAATATTTAAAATTGAACCCGTGATATGAAAATTACCTTAAGCTGTAAGAAATGGGAGTTTAAATCCACTCTTTCCTGGAGCTGCTGACTCCCAAGCTGTCTGGGGTGGTAGTTAGATGGAAATCCAACACATACCTCCCACCTACACAAACACGCATCTATCAGTTATACTCTACTGAGCTCTAATCCAATAGAAAATACAACAAAAATATAAATTGCAGGACATGTAACTGCACGCAACAGCAGGGCAGAACATGAAATGTAAACAAAAAATCAGATACAGTATTTAGCTGATTTGTCTAAGCTAGTTTATTAGAATACCTAGGATCCAATAGTCCACACCCTCATGTACAGTTTGCAAATAACTGCTGATTATGTAGTAATATTTATTGAGTCAGTAAGGGAATTATAATAGTGTTAATCTTTAAAGTAGTCTTAACTAAATCATAACTACGTGAGAAATCATTGGTCACTTTTATTGATTAATTATGGTGCAAAGTACTGCTGTTTAAGAATGAAAAAAAAAGATAATAATACAAAGAGCACATGAATATCAATATGTACAGTATAGCAATATAAAATAGTGTAATGAGTCCTTCAGAAGTCCTGTATAGGCTGTGTTAGGATCACTTAGATTTTAGGCATTGAATGACAACTAACGAAGTAAAGGTGTGTTCTTTTTATAGATTCTTCATACTAAATCACAATGTCCCCCATATGTGCCGAGTGTAGCAAAACAGGGCAACATACAGTATGTGCAAAGTGTAGCAAAAAAAAGTGTCTGCTTTGGTTCCAACATAAAAAATAAATATATGAAGTCAGTACAGAAAATATGTTCCTGGACAATACAAACTTTTTCCAACAAGGAAGTTGGCCATGAACCCCCGGCAAAGCACTGCTGCAACATGCAGAAGGATGTGGAGGATTTAGATTCAGAGGAAATTTAAATGTGAACTCAATTACATATCAGGAATTTAGCCAGGCTTTTGCACAAGTTCAAACAGTTCTGTAAGACATCTACTATTCAATTTAGGAAATGATTTCCCTCCTCCATACTCTAAAAAACACTAAGAATATCCATAATAATTACATAGTGAATGATGCTGTGAGAAATTACTAGTAAATTTCAGCAGGGCATCAGTCATTCAAGAATCATACTTTTTGCTTCAGATATTAAAAAAAATTAAAGAATAATTTTATAGTTAAGGGTATAAAGGAATAGACATTTCTTTGTACTAAAATTAATAAACTATCATGATTCTACATCACCCAAGTAGAACATCTCAATTTTGAAGAAACACACTTTTTCAAACCTGCTGGTAGTTCAACACCCGGATCTAAAAGAGTTTTGAACACGGCTCTGTCGTCTGCTTCGCCGACTGCTACTACCCTGTCAAATGTCAGGCTCAGAACAGGGTTATAGGGTGACCTGTGGGTAAAAAGAAAGGGAGATATAATTAGCATAAAGGGAAACAGCAATTAGCCATGACATCCCCCGTCCAATACCACAGATTTAAATTAACAATAAAAACTTTGGTTAACTGTGACTTATGAACTGATACCGCAGTCCCTTCTCCAGATTTTCATCTCATTGTACACAATATGTCTTTGAATGTTCTGTTTTTTATTTGTTCTGTCATATTCTGTAAAATAAAAAGTGATTACCTAATCATGAGCCATTGCATGCACACTTGTTTTTGTCAGAACATGAAACATATCTCAATGTGTGCTGATGTTATTTAAGGATATGATAGATATTTGTGGCTGGTTATGATGTTATCTTTCCAGGTGGTGCCATGCCCTTGATTAAAATCAGCTGGGCTGCAGCCTAAGTATCACAGGAAAGGTGATTGACCGGCATGAGAATAGTCAGTCAATCAATCAATCAATCAATCAGATCTGGAACCCAACTCCATTTATAAAAGGCAACATGTTGATACCTCCCGAGTCTGGGGTTATGGATGCATTATTACATTTCTCTGTACTGGAATTCTACTTCACCTAAAACACGGCACTTCATTTTCATGTTCTCATGAATTACCTTTGATTTGGGTTTTCCAATGCTCAGACAAATTGCCAATTAATTCATTTTTTTTCCTTTTATTTCAGCACTCTGCTGGCAGGGTATGAATATAAAGATTATCCACAAGCAATATAACTATTTTAAACAAAATTACTTTTGATAGGACATGCAGTATATCGCATTTGTGCCTATATACTAAATTTCTGTCTTGGCTGATGCATTGACATTTTGTTTTATGATGTGTCCGAACAACAAGTGATTGAGGAATCCTATTTGTCCAGAATTCTTTTTAAACCTACAAGTGGGATTTTATGCTGTTCTGTTAAGATTTACTGAATAATGAAGAAATCACAAGGATTTCCTTATAAATTAAAATACGGAAAAGATTATAGAATAAACACTGCAGTGTGGTATTTATTCCTTCTAATAGTATTGTTAAAAAAATCTTTTATGGTTTTGCCATTGGTAACATCATACAACATACAACATCAGTGCAATGACTTGATTTCTTAATTAAGTGCTTTTAAGGAGTATTGAACTACTGTTTCAACTCTGTTTTAATTTAAACGTTTTCATGCTTAAAGATGTAGTCACATTTTTACTCACAAGCTTTCAAGAGATATTAATATGGCCAAATTATATAAGATTATTTTAAATTTCAGAATATTTCCTGTGCAAAAAGTAGTTTCCCCAGGCAATAAATTAAAGTTTTGGTAGTTATCTTTATCCGTTTTGAATTGTGATACTGTAAACCAGGACTCTCTAGAACTAAGTCAGTGAGGAGGTCTCAGAATTAATCTGAAGAAACAACCTTGAAATAATTATTTGAAAATAAGACAAGAATTCTAATTAGAAAAAAAATCCTCTTTAAAATGTTTCCAGGCAAATCAAGTAAGATGAGTGTTAATTATAATTCAATTATTTCCTCTTCTACTGCTTGCAAAATACATTAAAATAAATGTATCGCTAGAAGGCTAGCATTGGCCACAGCTAATGAAATATATGTATGTGTCAATTTTTATATAGGCTGAATGTTTAGCTGTATTTCCTCATTAGTCAAATTCTCCATAACTAAATACTATTGAACAGTACACACAGTAGTATTTTTACAGTTACAACACTTTAGTATAAATTATATCCCTAAAAACGAAAGCAAACAAAAATAATATAACAAATAATATATAATTCATATAATTTTTCTGTAATTTAAATTGACGTATATCACTGTTAGTGAATTCGTTTGTAATATTTGTTTCTCCAATAATTCCTGAGTAGCACATCAACCACATAACATGTCTATCATGATCTGAACCGGTAATCGTATTTTTCTTCTAAACTATATCTGAGAAAAACAAGATATGTACTACAACTCCAAACAACACCAATGATTATGAAACTATTTTGCTTATGGTGATTCCATAACCTGGAAAAATAAGCAAACCTTCAGACTAACAATACATTAATACAACAGATAATCTGAAATCAACCTTTACCCTGCAAATAGGGAATAAAAACTCAAATTATACTTGATCTAATTTCAGAGAAGATCCTTTACCTTTGGGTCAAAACTACATGTATATGTTAAGGCAAAAAGATGGAAGCAGGCTTATTAATGCACTTCTCTTCTTGGCAAGTCACATTCTGTGCTTTTATTCAACCCCAAACACATTGTGCTGAATTGCATTGTGCTCTTTTGATGTGGATCATTGTCCACTAAGAAATAGGTTTAACCTACTGAACTCATCCCAGTGAAGACTTGCTTAACCATCAGTTCACAATGACTTTTAGAGGGATTAGGCAGCACCAGGGTGTAAAGCCCTGTGTTTCATTTCTCTGTGCTACAGCTTAAATCCAAATTGAGCTGTAAGTGAAAATAAGCTTGACTGTCTTAGTCTGATCAGCAGTGGTTTCTCAGTTGCCTCACAAAAGCCATCATGCCATCTGGCACAGTTTTGAGGCTTTGGGTTGAATAAACATGTGGACCAGTTTCCAGATTGCCCTCTCCCATGATACAGAGCAAAATCCTTCCGGGTCAGACCTGAACTTCATAACCTAGAGAAGTGTGGCAAAGACACAGCAGGCTTCTCACTGGTAAAGCAATGAGCAATGAAATAATCCCAACAAGCCAATTGAACAGATACAGTATGTCTGTACCTTCTATCAAAGCGCCTACGTGCTGAACAGCAAGAACATTTTACGTTCTTAACAAAAGGAATACACAGTAGGCACCAAAAATGTTGTACGGATAAAATAATGTCATTGATTTAAAAAGAAAAAAAATCTGGTTCGTACCTCCAAGATTCAACATAAATTGCACCACAAACAAAAAAAAAAGATAATCACAATATTATTGTTTGATCCAAAAACAAAGAAGACCTTCTGTCAAATGTTTTATTTTCTTTGTGGCTTTGAAAAGATCCTAGTCCTATTAGTCCTAGTCCTACAGGCTAGTTCAACCTGAATAAAATGCACTGGTTGGACAAGCATTACATTCAAAGTTAAAGTCAAGGGCACAACAATGTTACATTACAAATGTGCTCATTTGACCTACAGTGGCTTCCTTACAAGACTATCTGAAAGGACAGTGTCTCAGGGACCTTTCGTCATAAAGCTCTTATGAAAGCTTAACATGGACATTTCCACCCTTACCCCAGTCTTGATCGTGTGCATTATGTAACAGTTTCATTAGTTGAAACAATATAGCCCGTTCCATGAAATCAATCAATATATAATAAATAATAATTTAATAAATATTAACAAGAAACTGCATAAATATATTGTGTGGGAATGCAAGTTTAAACAAATCTTAAGGATAGATTTAAAATCAGAAACTCTGCATTCACAATTTCAGTATTCCATAGTCTAGGTGCATAGCAGGAAAAGGTTTTCAGCCAACATATGCAAATATTAGTCACAGAATGATATTTTTATAATAAAACATTTATTCAATTTAAAAATATGGCAAATAAGCTATGTAACAAATGTAGGAATGTATGAACTTTATGTTATTTGCAGCATAAGTATTATTGATAGTGTATTAAAATTATTACAGAATGAAGTAATAAGAATACACCCAAATAATCACTAGGTCTATAAGAAAATCGATATAATCTTTATATAAACAATTTACAGGTATAAATCTGTATAAAGTACTGTATATCTGGAGGATATACTGCGGTAGTGCTTTTAGGCCAGATGAATAAGAATTCAATAAGGTCTAGATTTGAAGGATTTTGCTCTTACTGCAGATAGCTGGAACTGAGTTCTTAATGTGTTTCTTCTCACTTGAGTGCACTCTTCATACAGGAAATATCACTGGGAAAAACGGGCACCCGAAAATGGAAAGAAATTCAGCCTTTTGCAATTTAGTAAACAAGAGGGTGTGAAATAGAATGCTAATAGCTTTCAGTATGAACCATTTTAAACTCTTTTCCCATGAATCTGCACTCTTCTGAACTACAGTGTTTTTCCAAAATTCACTTCAAAGCTATTAAGAGAAGTGGAGTCAACTATCAGATGTCACCAGCCACACAGCGTCCCTCAGACACAGCCTAACTTAATACTGAAGATGTCAGCCTCTTAATAAGATGTCATCACAGAGTTGGAGATGACAGGAAACACATTGGACACATCTGCCAAAATCCAAAAACTGAAGAGAATCATCATAAAATGCGCAAGATTTCAATTTCTACACAAAATTATGAATATTGCATAAAGAAATGAAAGAGTGCAAAAGACCAAACACGTTGAATTCATATTTCTAAAAAAGTTGAAGTAATTGTAATCAATGACTCTTTTTAAATTGACTAATTATAAACAATGTATTTATAAATAAACTGAGGAGACCATTACTTTAAATACTAAACTGACAGAGAAATTGCCAACCAAAATATATAAACCAGTTTATTGCTGTGCATTGACATATTTTGTTAAGAGACTCAATTGAATTACATCTGGAACCAGTAACAACAAATAAGGCTGAGAACTAGAGTATGATTGCGCCTTCCTGTAGCTTCCTAAAAGATACTTTTCAATTACTCTTCACTTTGCCTTAAGTATTGAAGGAGTACAGAAATAAGATGGGAACACAGTAGCGGGTCAGGGCGGCCCACAACAATGACAGTGTGATGGGCTGCAGCCTCCTGTGGCGTTTCCATCTGCCATCATTAAGGTGACTATTCAGACATGAAGAAAACCCTGCTTGCTGTGCTGACAGGCAGACATCAGGAACGATGACAAGACATTATGAGAGCAAGTCAGAAGCAGGGATGTCATGTCCCTCCAACAATTCCGCCGCAAACAAGACCTCTTGAAAATTCCCAGGGTTGTAATAAAAACAGTTGCTGTGTCTGACTTGGGGGCAATGTAGGGATTATGCCACGCTTTGAATTAGCTTGTCAAAGGCTGCGAGCGAGGAGACTCTCAGAGATATCAAATACAATTCTTACCGGTAGTCTTCGCCGTATGACACCCAAACCTTTTGCTCATTTTGAAGGAGAAGTGGATTCCGTATTACTGTTCCTTGTTCATCAAACAAACAAGCAGGGATAAGCTTCAGACCTGAGGGGCTGTAACCTGGGGAAGACTGCACTCTTTGATGAATCATCTGCAGTAGCTGGGAACGGAGATAATTTATTTTTTAAAAAGAAAAGATAATAGGGAAAGGTAAAGACATAAAGAAGCAACTGGCTCAATCATTTACCAGAATAGAATGGTGACACATAACAATTGAATTACAAATAGATGTTAAGGAAGTGTGAAATGACTGAGCTGTTTATCTTGGTGTACACTGACAAAATGAGCACAGGCTTTTAACCAGCAGGGGGTGCAACAGGATTATTATTGGGCTCTGACCCCCCATCCTGATACTGAATACTAATGCTCTGGCTGTACAAAATAGGATTTTGTCTGACAGGGATGGCAACACTTACAGACCAGAAGCAATGATCTGTCATTCAGAAAATGCCAATTTCTTTTTCCACATCTTAATTTAAATCTATATTTATCGATAGGTATGTATCCTTATTTATATACTGTATACGGCACATGTCAGTACATGTAAACATACATGTATAAATACTGTACATTAACATACATGCATGCATGTCCTTTACTTTACAGTCTACACGTACTGATTTTTAATCAATACTTTCTTATGTACAACCGGAAAAAAAAAACTGGAATGGGTCAAATGCCAATATTAGCAATGTTCCTATACTGTACATGCAACGGAATAGTTTCTTCTAGTATTTTTGTAGTGCACACAAAAAATAAGGCACCGATGATAGTGGCTTTATTTCTAGTGTCCAGTATTTCTTTCTGCTGTTTGAAATCCCTTAATCTACCATAAAATTGGTATCACACATATAAATATATCTATCTGTGTATATCATATTAACAAAGGTTGGGAAGCTGTATCTGCGTGTGAATTGTAAGGTAACAAGTAGTCCACTTATTCTTACGCATATCGTATAGAATTATCAATACTGTGCAAAAACATTTCTCTCTTTCAACCTACCCGGTTCATCATAAGATTTATGTCACTGCCACACCCCTTTTCCATTTCTATTTTACTGATGTGAACAACTGTCTCTCCAGTCTCCTGTCCATTTTCATAAACCTGTAAAAACATATATTTACGAGACAAATACAGCTTTGTGACAATATTTTACAATGCATCATGCAATCTTTATTTTGTTCACCTGGAAATTGGCAGCTATTTATCATTACAACCCAAATGTTTATTTTTATAATAGTTTTAATTTGACTAAAAACAAAACTGCTAACAACTGCAACTATTTATGTTTTATGTATTGTCAATGACCATAGATTGTTATATATATTTGCATGACCTTAGACCAGGGTTAGCTAAATTCATGGTTTTGTCTTGATTAATGTTAACAGATGAAAATTCAGAATCTACATAGATATTACAAGTGACTTAATGAAGAAGGCAGTTACAACTTAAATGTACTGTATGAAGATGAAACAGAATCACTTATAAAATTTAGTTTCCATTATTTAGTGATTTAGATAAAAAAAACAATGCTTCATGTCAGAAACATCACTTTAATTCTTGCATTTTTAATCTTCAACAGTCTTAATATGTGTAATAATTCCTCTAAATTATGTCATAACTATGACATATTATTGTTTTTAAGTAATTTAAATATTTTTTAGAATTGTGGACGTTATTGAAAAAAATAATTGAACACTATCAAAAATAGCAGGTCATTTAACTGATGATCTGTAACTTGATCATTCTGTACAATTTGTAATTGATCAAAGTGAGCTCATCATTGCCTCAAAAGCACAGCACTCCAGTAAGTGGCCAGTAAGTGAGAATTTACTTTAAACTTTTGAAAAGGTCCTTCCTGTTGTGATCTACGTTATTACAGTCTTACATTATCTTCCAGGAAGTATTCTGATTTAGGATGAAGGACCTTGATATTGACCAGCATAAAAATCAGAATTTACCAACAACAAAAAAGAGCAAACAAACTCTTAAAGGATAAATAAATTGGGCTTATTTTAGGTTTTGCAAAAACTTTTTAACTCCAAACATTTCACTTAAGTTTTGTACAAATCGACATCTTCATGTTGATAATCCAGAAATAACTCAGAATGAATCACTACTTCAGAACCATCCAGAGATGAACAGGGACGTATTTTTGAATTCACTGATTACTGAGAAACACAGACAAAAGAGTATCCTGATATAACTGCTCAGGGCTCTTTACGTACAGTACTTGCTTAATTTTTACACTAATGGAAATTCCTCAAAGAAAAACATCTTGCACCATACACTACATAACTAACATTTGCAGACCAAATATATTGCTATTACCTTTAATACTTTAATTCATATACAGCATTGACATAAATTAAATTAAACTGCTCATCAGGGTATTTTCAGTGTATTTATCTTGCATTAAAACCTAATAGACATCTTTTAATTAAAAACATTTTTGTTAGTCAGTTTCAAATTATGGAATGTACTGTATGCAATATACAGTACCTCTCAGCCCTATTCGTCAACAAACTCTAAAGGTTTTACAAAACTTGATACACTTGTTGTGATTATTTTTAAGGACAACATTATAATGTAACATTAATATTTAAAGTGTTTTCCATATAGTATTTATAGTTGACATATCGACAAAATGCAAGGAAGTTCTAAATCAAACACGTTGAAGATGAAAATTTTACACTGCTGCTTTCAGTTATATTTTAAAACGCATTAAAAAAAGCTGTTTCATATTTGCTTCCATTAGAGTATATACAGTACATCCAGTTAAAGTCAATCAGCAATGACTAAAAACAAAACCTGTGTCAAAGGCTAAAGGATTCTCTTTTCTCTCTCTCTTTCACAAGCAAAACTTTTACTCTAGGTCACTGAGAAGGCATCAGCTGAAGTCAGGTACTGTAGCTCTTATCACCTGATGTAAAATAGCAACTTCTTCTGCACACATGGGGTCGGCACTCTCAATATGCTGTCTGTTCTCGCTTCAGAAAATTAGGTTGAATATTTTAGGTAGAAATAACCTCAGATGGCCGTGGCTTCTTATTATTGGCATTCATTAATCCTTCTGGTTGTGTGGATCCTTGTTTTTTTCCTAAAGAACAAAGCTCCTAATCCCTTTGGGTTCACGCAAACCCGCACCATACTCTACTAGACAGGACGCAGCTTACAGACAGAAATTTTTTCCCCAGTTTAAATTCAGAGTGATCCAGACTCCTGAGGTTTCTTGGATGCGTAAACTCATGTGCAATTAATTTAGCTGCAGGCTAATGATTAAAGAAAAAAGGCAGCTTAATGAAAATAAACAATGACAATGATGTACTCCGCCCCTCTCTTCCAGCTCTTAATAAAAAATATTCAGCATCTGCTGTCCATTTAGGCTTCAAGTGAGTGTCACATTATGCCATAGCGCAGATGTGACAGGGCTAACTCTGTAAAGCAAGTAAAGCAAATATTCCATGAAGAGCCACTAATTGAGAGGTAACAAACAAATTAAGTGTTATGTGAGAGGACAAACTCCCTGGGTGCAGGAGTGTCTGTGGCAGTAAGGTTCACTGGGTACATTTAGGCCATGTGTCCACTGGGATAGTGTTGTAACTTTGGTAGGCCCTTTCTTTCCCCGCTGGCCGCCCAGCTGGCAATCCCCAAGGTACCTTTGCGGATGTCAGGGAAAGGGAAGAAAACCTGCCTCATTACAACAGGCACTACAGGGGAGATGACATTTTTAATAAACGCAGGCTTTAAATCAGATTAGCAGTCCTCTATTTCTTTGTCACTGGTAACGCAAGGGAAACTTCACCTAACCCTGGGAATAGTCATGAAGGATTACTGGTGTTTAGGAACACCAGAAATGACACAATGTGTTCCTGGCTGTTTTCGTTACAAATGAATCCCTTGCTCTTTCTAATAATGTCACAAATTCAGGGGCTGAACACAGTGATGGGACGCCGTACACATGTTAATTACAAACCAGCATTCTTACCAGCTTTTAAAAGAAAATAAAAGGAACTTAAATCTTAAATGCCCAGATTAACTCCATTAGACATTTTCAGGTTTGGCGTTGATTTTCGAAAAATAATAAACACTCCAAAGTGTATTATTTTTAAAAGATACTGCTCTTTGCATGTGCAACAAGTGCACACACTGTACATGGCAGGCGTACTGTAGAATAGGTGCTTTCTATTAAAATGTTAAAAATGTGAATGTCTTTCATGTCCAGAAAAAAATTCTTAACTGTATGTATGTTTTTCATTATATTTCTGATGATCAGACAAATGAATCAGATGTACTGTATATATCTATACTGTATATAGATAAGAATTAATTGCATTAAATCACAGTTTGGCCAACTATAGTATCACCTCTATTCGTTCTCTAAGATCTAGATTTTCTATAATTATTCTTAGATGTAGTCGTGAGTCGGTGTGGTTTTGCCCTGCTTACTGTAATAAGATCAATGATGTGAAACCATGGGTTTCTCAACATTAAGCTTGTAGGACTGGACAGTATAAGACCATGCCCCCTGGAAAATGGCAAACACAGTGTGCTACATACAGTACACTGTTGTGCAATATGATCACAGCTGATTTATATTCACATTTGAACACTTCTGCCTACAGTATGTCAAAGAATCCTTTGCTCCACTTTTTTTTGTGTGTGTCTAATCTGAAATAGCACAACCTGTGAAACTTAGTCCAAACTACTGTACGTATACTGCAAAGTGCAAAAAAAAAGATGGCAAATAAGGCTCACTTTAAAACTTATCACCACGGGGAATGACTCAAGACATCCTGTCAAAACTGTTCATCTAAAAAAGGTGTTTATGGAACAAGGCAACGGGTAGTGAAATTTAAGCTCTAACAATGTGTAAAGCTAAAGCAATATTGTGTTTCCTTTCAGGTTTTTGATGACAAACTGACAAGATAAGAGTGGCACTCACTTTTAGCTGCAGGCCTTGCGGGGAATTGGAGTTGGGTGAAAGTTGTTTAATGTGCTGGAACACATAGCTACTGTGTTGCTCCTCTTCAGCCTGTAATTGCTGGGCGAGTTTTGAGAGCTGACCCTTGTGCTTCTTGATAGCAGTTTGTAATTCATCAATCAGCTTGTCCACCTGAAGGGGTTAAATTGCAGGGGAACAGTTACAGAGAGGTAATTACTTCTGTCACACCTATTAGTCTTTTGCAGAGACAAACAACTTGCGATCATCTAGATGCTTGTTAAGAATGAATTACTGCTTTCAAGAGAACAGGGAAAGAAAGTTAAACTCAGGACAAGCCTGGCTTCACCACTGCCTTAGGTCTGACTGTACTTGACTGTTCATATTCGAGGAGATATGGTGTTCATATTTGCAGGTATAAATGCTGTTAAAAGCTTTGTGACTGTGAAAAGAAAGTAAAATTGGAAATGGTCTTTGTAATTACAGAGATTGAGCTCAGTTTAAACTGAATAGGAAATTTAAGAAAAGTGCTGCTTCATTGTTTAAATTACATTTTGTATATTTGGTAGATACTGCACATAAAACATAGTATATCACTAGACAGTTCCACACATCTTAACAGTTAAATACACTTTGCTTGGGTGGGGGTAAGGGGGATATTTATATATACTAGCTATACATTTTTAATATTTTTATCTTGAACAAAATACAATCATTTAATTTCCAGTCAGTCCAGGTGCATTAAAAATATTCTCTACCATTTTATAAAAACTTTTTAAATGGAGCTGCAATCACTGTGAAAATGTTAATTCTTTGTAAACTCTTTGAGAATTTACATTGTTGAAATCAACACAAATGTTAGTAGTGAAAAACTAAATCAACGAAGGGTAATCTTTCAGTGGCTTACCTTGCATAGATTTACACTAAATTTAACTAAAATGTAAAAAATATCAGCATTCAAAGAACAAAATCTACTCTGCTCAATATGTATAATGATTGAATCTGGTTTATTGGTTTCAAGACATTCTTTTCAGGTAAATATAGTAAAATAGCACCATTCAAATAAATTTGCTAATATAATAGCAAATGCACAACAAATGCACCCTGTTGACAAGATATCAAATTAAAATACCGTTTCAGAATGAATAAACAGGCAGACACATTCAATCATATAACAGAATCAGAAAACTAAAGGAAAACTCCTTGGAAATTTGAAATAATCAAAAAATAAACATATTTGATAAGGTTTATTGCAATGTTGTACTTACACTTTCCTGTGCACTGTACAGCTCTTCTGTGGTCAGAGAGAGAATCTCTTTTTTCAGAACTTTCTCTGGACTGTTATCTAGCGCAAAATTCAGCTAAAGATGAAAAATAAAAGTGTTTCACAAAGGTTTCCTTAACAAATGGGACTGTATATCACATCCTAAAACCAACACTTTGTGTTATGTCAAGAACATGGCAGTTTCATCATTGCCTTCTTTGACACTAAAATCGCTTTTAAAGCAAAACAACTCACTGAAATCACACCAAGTAGCTGTCAATTCACTGGACACAGCTTCATCACAACATATTTCATCACAACAACCAAAAAAAGTATACCCATCAAAGGTTCTGGATCTAAACCTGGTTACTGCTTTCTTTGCTTGTGTGCAACCATCTTCAATTTCATCTTCCTTGCGTCCAGTTGTGTGTCCTAGCTAACTGGACTGGCCTTACCATCATCTCTGACTTCTCATGCTAACTTTCTTCTCTTCTTTCTTCCTGCAAACATCAGTACTGTGTGTGTGCTTTGTTGTTGCAATACAACATTTGTGTTCAATTTATGAATGCAATTTCTACATTTTGACATAGTTTGTACTGGCAGATGAATACCACAAATTTTGTTTTTGAACTAAATATCAAAAAGGTCTTCACATTGGTCTAATTACCAAAACTATGTGTAAATGTCTGTGTTGTTTCAAGACTTTCTTGAAGGCTTTATTATTATCTTTCTATAGATTTCAAAAACATTGTAAAAGTTGATATTCAACCAACTAATTTTTACCTTTGAAACTATTATTCATTCATACTGAACGCATCTGTTGCTGCTGCACTGCAGTTCACAGGAGCAATTTGTGTATTAATATTTTAAAAACAAAAAAATGGAACCCATACATTAGATTATTCAATAATATCTTCTACTGTATGTGCATTTACAAAAGTATAGTATGTTGCATTATCTATAATCTATATGAACAAAGATATAGTTTGAGAATTCAATGCTAGAGCATTACAGCGTCCGTAATCTTAGTTTTCTCTTCATGACTTGAAACAGGAAAAACAGGAATATCACTAACAAAAAGAAATAAGAAAATATCACAGAAGATGCCATGAGGACAACTGATATTTAGTCATATCTTTAAAAACTAGGGACAAAATTTGGATTGCCTTGTTGTTTAAGATGTGTTCTTAAAATGCCACGATGGACATAAGGAGATGTTATGTGTGATATGTGATGTAAAACCAAAGAATATAACGTGGATTAGGAAAAAGATTCAGATTATAGATGTTTAAATGTAGATATTATTTGGTTTTAACTTTCTGTAAACCTCAGTATATTAATTACACTTCTAGACAAAAAAGAAAAAAATATTTATAGAACCATTTACATCCTTGACAACCTTTCCCAACAGTATTTAATTACTGAACTATTGACAGTCAAGTAAAAACATGTAATGGAAGACTTCATAGCCTGTTACCCTACAAAACACTGGGACAAATTACTTATTTATTTATACAGAACACACTTCTAATAGCCAGCTGCAGGTATTTTCTGAAAAGTGCATTTTAATAAGGTTCTATTCAGAAAATGGACAAACGGGGAAAGGAGGTTTATGTTAGAGAGTTAAACTCGGGGGCCCTTCCCTCTCTTTCTTTCCCCTTTTCTTTTTTTTTTTCTGCTCAGCGCAAAATCAATCATTTGTCCAGACTGTGGGAGTCAGAGTTAGATACTGAAAAGAGACCCATATATAAACAAGTCAATAACTCATTGTGGGCTATTGTTGCACTAGAGCAGGGTGCATACAAAAAGCTGTCCTGGCTCCTCACAGAAAGAGTGTCACTGTATTCAGTGGCCAGGAGGGGCCCTTTGTTTCCAGCCATCGCTGGCTGCACTTTATGCATGGGAAAGAGAAGAGACTGCTTACGGCAGAGCCTGGCCTGTCACTGAACACTGGCTTGGCACTCCCTTCTGCGATATGATGGCTAGAGCTTGAATCAACCTTTCTTTTTCTAAGAAAGCTTTAGCATGGATCCTATATTTCCTATCGATTCAGATGAGAGACTGCTGATTTCAGATACCTTTCAGGTTTTAGGAGTAAATCCTCTGTCACCAATCACTAGATTTGTTAGATGTGTTTATATACAAAATATTAGGTTCCACCTGGATGTGCATCACAATGCATAAAATTGCCAAGATGTGAGAGCACGTACAAGAGAGGACTTAATTTAAAAATAAAGCCCAGGAGAGACCCATGCCTGTTATACAGTTTCTTCAACCAAGAGTACCTCCATTTCTTCTAAAAATTACAAGATACAACAATAAAGAATTTCAGAAATAAGTAGCAGCTCACATATTCACAATTTTGCAATTAATATTTTTTATTTGATTTTAAAGATATTAAATAATGTATCAAAAGTTTATTGTCCTTTAAGTGAGAAAAACATTTAAGGTTCTTTTTCTAATCAGAGAGATTATTTCAATGTGCCACAAAACAATAAGAAAGGTTCAGTCCAGAGCTGAAGAAATTGACTCAATACTGTGCAATTTGCTATACTGCATTGGTATCTACTATAGATCTTTATGGGTAAATAAACTTA